CTGGGGCGGTCCCCCGGCTCTGCCCTCCTGGGTCCCGGCCGGTCCTGGAGGTGGGAGCCCTGGCTGGAGGGGGGGGGGGAGGAAGAGAGAGCCCAGGGCTGGGGCGGCAGGGGGTGCGGGTGAGGGAGGGCACTGGTGGTGGTGGGGCGCTGAGAGCCCAGGGCGGGGGGTGGGGAGGGGCAGCCAAACTTTTTTTGCTTGGGGCTGCAAAAAACCTAGAGCCAGCCCTGATCATAATCAGGTGTTTCTCTGTCAGCACAACATTGTGGCAAACAGTTTCTCTTTTCTCTGACAAATTTGAGGACAAGATTTTCACAGATTTCTCTATCACTTGCTGAGCCTCCTGGTGATGGGACTGATTTGAAATGCAACTCTCAATACTATCATGGTAGACAGCTATCTTCTGGAAATACTGGGTCAGTGTCACTAATGACTCCTGCAGTTACTGTGAAGATATGATTACTTTTAATTATCTGAGCAATCCACTTACTAATGTGTTATTGGAGTGTTTATTAAGATTTGTTGATGTACCAACAGATTACAGAACACCTTTGCAGCCTAAAAATGTGACCTGGCTTCATTTAAGCAAAATAAATCATAATATTTGTAAAGGAAAGTTTTTAAATTAGATTCAAGGGGGAGTTACATTTGGATATATAATAAAATGTTGGGGCAAAACCCAAGCAGATTCAAATGGGATCATAAAATGTCTAGAATTCTGCTTTGAGGTGAGTGATACCAATTCGGATAATTCCATTACTAAAGAAAATATCAGCAATTGCCACACAGATGCTGTGGTTTATATGGTGGTTTATACTTATAAGTATTGGAGACACTGTAGTTTCCCAGCATCCACATCAGGCCTTGTGTCTGCCAAGAAATTTTAAATTTATATTTAAAAAGTTCACATTGCGGGGAGGGGGAGAAGAGGATGATAGATACAGATACTCCATTGTGTGTCTGAAAGCCCCTATGCTTTTGGCAAATTTATAATGAGGCCTTCAGCTAGGGAACATTTGGACGTCTTTGGTCTAGGGTTATGAGTGCGTGCCCTATGCCTCATCACCATTTTGGGGTGGTGGGTGTGAGGAAGGTGACAAAAGAAGCAAGCTTTCTCTCTCTCAGTTCTTCTTGCAAGTTATGCGAATAACCAGGCTAGCTAGCACCGGCATGTGCCTTAACCAGGCGGCATCATTTTCAGATGTAAAAAAAAGCAGCACAAGAGATGTTGGGCCAGATTCTGATTTCAACACACTACCAACTGCAACAGCGGTATTCCTGGTTTACACCAGTGTCAGCAAGAAGAGACCCAACCCCTATGTTCATTAATTTTAATGGTTCAGTAGTAGATCTTTGGCTCACTAGTGAGAGGAACCCTCTCTTTCCAGGTACCTGTGTGCTGTACTCTGGCCATCAACAGAACTCCCTTCTCTGTCTCTTGAGTGGCCATATTCCTCTACCACCACATCTCTGTCATGAACAGCCATGCTCAATACTTAACCATCTTCATTAATGTAATTTCTCTGTCTGTCTCTCCCCCTCCTGGGTGGCTGTTTTAAATTCTTGATCATCTGCCACGCAGCTCTGTCTGACCTCTGTTGCCAATAACTCCCCAAACATTATTAGCATATATGATTAGGCACAGAAAGAATAAATAAGACGTGCTGCCAGACTGTGACACCAGATCTAGGCAGGCTCCAAAGATGTGTCATCAACTTAAAGACTTTGCTCCAAAAATGGAATATGCCTAAGAATTGTTTCCCAGTAAAAACTATCCCCACATTTTCCTGCCCCATACCACAAAATGTGACAGGGTAACCGGAGAGAAGGAAGATCTGTTCTGCAGAAGTGAATGTCTAATGCAGGGATAAATACTGCCATAAACTGAGAAGCTGTTTTCAAGTGGTTTGAATTATAAAATCATTTCTTTTTAACCCCCCCCCATTTTAATCTTAAGATCCAAAACCTCACATCCAGGTGCAATTAAGCACATGATTTGGTTGCTGTATCAGGGCTCCAATGCGCAGCCTGAATACTGTGCATTGGCATAGGTGCTGGAACTAAGGTGCTGGGGGTGCAGCCGCACCCCCTGGCTTGAAGCAGTTTCCATTATATACAGGTTTACCGTTTGTTTCAATGGCTCTCAGCATCCTCACGTACAAATTGTTCCAGCGCCCCTATGCATTTGGTACATATGATTGTAGGAATTTCCTTCAGCCTTGATGCTGAAGTTTGATGGGGTCTCTGTGGCCTTTAAAGGCTCCCTCTGTTGAGGGCAGGAGGCAAGCTCCATGGCTGCTCTGCCCCCAGGTACCCTGGTGCATAGGGAGGTGCTGTGAAGTGAGCTCTGTGCTTGTCAGAGCGCAGCCCCCAAACACTACCCCTCTTACCCCTTGTTATGCAGCTGAACTCTCCTGGTCCTCTGTACCTGTAGCGGGATTTGCCCCAATGGGCTTGTTTACATTCCATAACTTCAGAATTTGGATATTCTTTGGGTCAATGACAGAACCTTAATTTAATAGCACATTTTTCCTTCCCCAAGCAAAACTCTATATATTCGAATCATCAGAAACAGGCAGCAAAGAATACTGCAGTAAATTATAACTTCCTAGGGCCTCCATCCTGCAGAGGTCCATATGGATGGATCCCTGACCAGAGCGTCATTGACTTCTATGGCGCTCTCTGCAGGCAGACCCAGTGCCCAAGTTTGTTTATGCAAAGAAACGTTAGTGCAAAAATTGAAACCAATTTTACATGCTGAATTTACTGAAATTAACAAAACTTGTCACAAAACCTCTCTAATCCTTGGAGCAGACATTGGTACTAAAGTGCTCCACTAGGAGCTGTTGTTGTATTTCAATAACAAATACAGAAAATAAACTCGCCTCCTTCTAGTCTGATAATAATTTATCTCCGTAACAGTGTTGTGAAATGAAGAGGGTGGGTGTTGGGGGATTTCCTCGGGGCTCTAAGGGGAGGTGTAAAATGGCACACTTTGAATATTTGTTCATTTATGAGACTCACGTGAAAACACCCTCCGGGGTCATTCTTCCAACTGTAATTAAGTATGCCCCAAATCGAAAGCTTGCCGCATAGGTGAAATACATAAAAGCCTGGCTGAATGCATAACAGGAACCGTAGATCTGAGCTTTCTTCTGAGCATTCCTGCAACATACAGTATTTACAAAAAAAACCCATGAACCAACTGTAAAAATATGAGGGATATTCTACTTGTTCAGAGAGAAACTGGGCTTATGTATGCAGTAGCTAGTACAGCTTCACTCCCAGGTATGCTACAGAGGCCACACATAGTAGACACTCTAGAGTTGAAAGCATGCATAGATGTCAAAAACGCCCAAGCTTTGTCTACACTAAAACCACCACACTGCTTCCAGTGCTGGAAATGCAAGAATGAGGGAGAATTATGGGTCCAGTTATGGGTAAATTAAACTGTAAAAAACAAAACAAAACTATATAGCATACAGCTGTAGACAAAGGTCTGATCCTGGACAAACTTACACAACTTTGCTTCCATGAATAAAATCATGCAGCATCAAACTAGGGAGGCAAGGGTTTTCTGGGACAGGAGAGAAAAGAGGCCTCCAAGGGTGGTCTAGGCCTGTGTTGACTGATAGGATATCTATCCCCTCCACTACCTCTATGCAATGTCTACAGAATGGAAATTTACCAATACATTCCTACCAGTTCTAACAGCAGTTCAGTTTTGCCAATGCTAACCAGGATTCAGACCAACAGATCAGCAGGACCTGTGCTTAATCCACTACCGCTTGGGTCTTGAGAGAATTCCCTGTAGAACCACATACCAGTCTGAGCCCGAAATCAGATTTACAAGTGTTTGCAGGATTGGATCCTAGAACTGCAAATTTATACTGTATATTTAACTATCCCAGTCTTCCCACTCAAGCATTTTTTCAGTGAGTTTAAGAGAAATTATGCAGATACACAAAAATATTGTAATTTGTTTAGAATACATCACTAACAACATTTGATGCCTTAGGGACTATCTAGATTACACTTGAGGTACAAGCTCTTTCATTCTTTCCTCAAGCTGATATCCTCCTTAACAAAACAGCCATATGATGTATTAATATGGCTGTTTGTTTGCCTTTGTTTTTTTCTCTGCAGACTATTAACTTAATGTAATATTTTAAATGGATAAATAAAATAGAAAAAGAATGAAAAGGGACAATTGCAATGGAGGAAAGGGCATTGCACATGGTCTCAACATGACTGATAACCACTGCGATTGCCTGGCTTAATATGACATGAATCATTTCTGACCTGTATGGCTTCTGCAGGTTTTCTTCATACATTTGTTCAAAAGTGCTCTCTCTAGTTAATGAAGCAACTGTTCTAATGTTCTCCACAGCTTCAGTTGCTACCTTTAATTAAACAGGAAAACCAAAAGACAAAATGAGATGGAAAAAAATCACCACTAGTCCTTCTCAATGTAGTCTGGGACTGGTAAACAGAGCAATGTAATTACTTGTACTTATGGTGGTAATATATTGAGCAGCAAAATAAATACCCGGTTTGTTTGTGCAAAGGCTCAATCACAGAAATAAATGTAGGTGCTTTTATTTCAATGTTCCTAACTCCAGATATACACCTAAATGTGCAAAGTCAGGCTGAGATTCGCTGGTCTGGCTGAGGAGGTGCTTCCGCTGAGTCCTTGAAAGGTAAGGAAGAGTGAATTCTTGTTCATTTGTATATGTGAGCATTGGTTTATTCTTTTTTAGAAAAAATAAGAATAGAGTGCTGGTAGAGTATTAGCATACAAACCAACTATATAAACTAGAACAGTAACTATTATTATTATGCATTTGTACTGCAATAGTACCTGGGAGCCCTCGTCATGCACTGAGACCCTGTTGTGCTAGGCACTGTACAAATGAAAAAAACAGGTGGTGTATTGAAAACGAACCCTCAAGGGGTCACATCACAGATCAGATTAGAATTAGGAGATTCTATTCTTCATTTGTTCCATTTGATTAGCTGTGTTATGAAGAAGCTGTATTTTACCTTTCCTGCTCGTTGTAGTTCCTTTTTATCTCGGTTGGCAAATCCAGTCAATGCACTGGTCTCCAGCATCCCAGTCACAGCAAGCACCGGCGCCATCACTAGGATCAGCAGAGTCATCTCCCACCCATATATAAAAGAAATGATGACAGACAATCCCATGCTGGAGATGTTTTGTGCTATTACACCAAGCCTTGAACCTGTTGCCTGTAATCGGGTAATATGTGAAAACTGTCATTTGCTAATGGGTCTTAAATACAATCCTTCTCTCTACCTGATAACAAGCAGATTAAAAAAAAACAAAACAACCCCCACCCCCTGCACACGCCTTTCAGAGAGAGATCTTTCACTCTGGCCTCATCTCCCTTAGCAAAAATGGGCTATGCCATCCAGTACCGGTGATTGTTTTTAAAATACAGTCTCATCTGTTGTTTGAAATCTCCATTCCCACACTGTGAGAGCCCCACCAAAAAAGCTGCGGATCTCACAGCTATTAGTGACCAACAAAGAAGCCATAGGGAGTGATTCAGACAGTAACTTACAGTGGACACAGGATGTTAATTCTGCTTAAAGGAATCTTGACATTCCCTGAGTTTTCCTGCATAGTGTTTATTTTTTAAAACAAGTTATTGAAAAATAGCAGGCTTGGCCTTTTATTGACTGTTTGAAATTTAAAACTGAAACCCAGAATCTCTACTAACATTTATATAGTGCTTTCAGCTGAAGTGCTTTTCATTCAGTCACTCTCCCTTCACCCATATCTTGTTCCTTCTAGAGCAGGGGTCTCAAACTCAAATGACCACGAGGGCCACATGAGGACTAGTACATTGGCCCTAGGGCCGCATTTACTGACACCGCCCCCCCACCTCCACTCCACCCCTTCCATGAGGCCCCGCCCCTGCCCCACCTCTTCCCACCCCTTCCCTGCCCCCATTCCACCCCCTTCCCTGAAATCCCCACCCCAACTCTGCCCCCCTCCCTGCCCCCAGGGCGTGCAGGAGTGGTGTGGGGTGTGTGTGGTGGGGGCTCAGGGCAGGGAGTTGGAGTGTGGGGTGCAGGAGGGGCGAGGGGTACGGCAGGGGGTCAGGGTGCAGGGTGCGGCAGGGGGCTCAGGGCAGGGGGTTGGGGTGCAGCAGGGGTGCGGGATGCAGCAGGGTGTTCAGGGCAGAGGGTCAGGATGCAGGATGTAGCAGGGGGCTCAGGGCAGGGGGTTGGGGTGCGGGGTGCAGCAGGGGGCTCAGGGCAGGGGGTTCGACTGCAGGAGGGGTTCGGGGGGCGGGCTCTGTCCTGACGTGCACTGGGGGCAGGGCAGGCAGGCAGGGAGCCCGTCCTGCCCCTGGTGCGCGTCGGGCCGGAGCCGCTCTAGGTCAATGCTGGGGGCCACGAGGAGCTCGCGGGCCACAGAAAATAACCCCGCAGGCTGCGTGTTTGATCAGGGCCGGCTTTAGGCACCAGCAAACCAAGCACGTGCTTGGGGTGGCACATTTTCGGAGTGGCATTCTGGCCATCTTTTTTTTTGTGTGTGCAAAAGCCTAGAGCCGGCCCTGGTAGCAGCAGCGCGTCGTGCACGGGGGGGCGCCCTGGGGCCGCTGCAGTTCGCGCGGCGGGGGAGCAGTACTGCACCTTGTGGCTAGGCCGGGCAGGCTCCGAGCGGGGGACACCTGCAGGGCACACGGAGTTGCCTGCAGATGCCGCAGGGCAGCCGCCCCCAGTGCCGCAGCCGG